CCACGTAGAATTAAGGCAGTTCTGAAGGCGAAAGGGGGGTCAAACACCGTATTAGTATGGTGTTCCTAATAATCCTTTAGGTGAGTGTATGTATATGTATGTGTCTGTATATGTATGTGTATGTATATGTGTATATATATGTGTGTGTATATATATATATAATGTGTATATATATATAATGTATATATGTATATGTATGTATGTGTGTATATGTGTATATAGTGAAATATTAAGTATTATACTCCTAGCTTAAGTTTACATTTACATTACTTTGCAGGTACTTGTATTTAAAGAGACGTGCAATTGAAAAAGCGGGGTCAGCCAGTCCCTAGAACAGGGATCACCAACCATTTTGAAACTGAGAGCTACTTCACGGGTACTGAGCCATACAAAGGGCTACCAGATTGAAACCCTACTAAAATGATCTAAACTTCATGTATAATAAACGTTTTAACTGCTTTTTTAAGATATCGTTTTCAAAGCTATATAAATGCAAATGTAATTAAAGAAGAATAGCAACAGGATAAAATTAAATTTTAGACACTGCTCACTGGTGAGTTGTGCTATTTTTAGAACAGGTCCGCGGGCGACTCATGTGGTCCTTGGGGGCATCCTGGTGCCCGCGGGAATCATGTTGGTGACCCCTGCCCTAGAGCAATTGGGGTTAACAGCCTTGCACAGGGCCCAATAGGGGAATCACTCTACAGACCACAGGATGTGAGCGGCGACCTTCCCATCACAACCCACAGAGCCAAACACACACAGCCCCAAGCCTACTTAGCTTCATGTTGCTGACCGAACCTTATTGTTAGTTTCTGAATTTCGGTGATTACAATGATACTTCCTAGATCATAATACTTCAGTAAATATCAATGATTTATAAACGTTTTTTTCTCCGGAAAGGGTCTACCTACCATTCTGAATCATTTCCCCATCCAACCATTACGTAAATATTTCTGTTGCCTCTCTGCATTTTCTGCAGGGCATTGGCTGTTATATGTTCCGCATCGACGACTTTGATGTGGTAGACGCCACCATGCATGGGAATGCAGCACGCTTCATCAACCACTCCTGTGAGCCCAACTGCTACTCACGTGTTATCAACGTGGAGGGCCAGAAGCACATTGTGATCTTCGCTCTACGCAAGATCTACCGGGGGGAGGAGCTCACCTACGACTACAAGTTCCCCATCGAGGACGCCAGCAACAAGCTGAACTGCAACTGTGGAGCCAGACGCTGCCGTCGCTTCCTTAACTAGGAACACGGAACTATGGGAGTGAAGGTCCTCCAAATGCTGCCATTGGCTGGAAGAAAGCTTGCTGAGCTATGCAGGGAGAGAGGGGCTGGGTCCGGCATGATGAGGAGGAGCTAACGATAGCTGGAGGGCAAAGGAGAAGATAGGGGCACTTCTTTCCTATCACCAGTTAAACTGAGCCATCATTTTGCTTCCTCTCTGCCTTTTTGTTTGACAATCCCAAATGCCAAAACGAATGAGTATAACGCACCCCAGGAAAGTGCTGTGTACAGCTGGTAAGGGAAGCTATTTTCAGAACAGGAAATCAAAAAATAAATGGTTTAGTCTCTTAAACTGGTATCAGCTTCTACTACATGTGCAGTTTTCCATGCTGCAGAAACATCCCTCACACCCACATCATTGTATTGGGTAACAGAAGCCAATTGTGCATGTTCCCCTTCTGACATCTTATCAGGGGAATTCTGTAATCTTTTATCCCACCACTCATTTTAGATTTTTAAGTCATTCCTTATTCTTGTGCATTCTGTGAGACTGTACGAATGCACAGAGAGTGTACAATCCATGAAGCATTTTACTTTCCTAGAAAACAATGTTGAGAAGCTTTAAATCTGGACCTATACTACTTTCAGGGCAGATGTTTGTTGCATCTTAGGAAATATTTTTCCCCCTGACTATGCGTATTGGCTTTTTACTGACATGTCTCTAAATGATGGCTTAAGTCAAACTGCCAGTGAACATCTCTAAACATTTCTAAACTGATACTGTTTTTCTTTTCTTTTTGTAAAAGCTCAACTTTCCAATCTCTCCAACATCTCCAAAATTCATCTAGATTTGATTGTCTGGCTGTCTAGGAACATGTAATTTTTAACTGAATAATTATGAACACCTTTTAAAATTCTATTTATGTGCGAAACACTACCTACCCTTATTATGGACCATTTTGTATTTGGTTTTTCCACTTCCTTTAAGTGCAATAATCTAATTCTGGTTTTGCCACCCACACTCCAATTCTAGACATTTCGAAACTGCTGCCTTTGTACATTACTTAAAGGAAAAAAAGGTCTTGTGTGTTTAAATTTAACTGTGTTAAGTTCCTTGTTTTCCGTTAACAAACCCATAGTAACTGGGAGGTAGAGTGAATTCTTTGCTGTCCATAATGTAAAAACAATGTTACTTACAGTATCCATATGACAGATTCTTTATCTTTTAAGATAATTGTGGTTGAACGTATCTGGAATGTTTATTGTAACTTGGCTTCCTGTATTTCAGTTCATATTAGCTTTATACTTTAACATAAAGCAAAAGTTATTAGTTCCCCAGTATTTTAATTTACTCAGCAATCAGCCATAAACAGCCTGCTAAGGAGCGAGTCTGCCTCCCCCCATCGTCTTTCAGTGAAATTCATTGCCCCTCCGTAGCCCTTTCACAACACAGTGAGGAGGACCATTATTTCTCCACCCAGTACTACTTGTTCTTTATCGCCATTAAACCGTTAATGGTGTGTGTTACGTGGTACCTTGCCCTACAAAGCTCTTGCAAGGATTCTACCTCAGTAGCTCATAAGGTGTAAAGGAATGCAAGTGCATAAATATGGCTTGGTCTCAGCTGTCCTGCAGAACTGGCTTGTGTGCAATGAAGAATGCAAAGCACTAGTTTTACTGATTTTTTAACATGGAAATTACTCCCAGTACTGTTCTTCAAACATTGTGTACCAACTTTATTTTAAAGCATAAAAAGATTTGGGGGAAAAATTAGAATTACTGGTGAACTTGGCTTTGTTACCTTGTATAAAGAACTTGAGTTTGTACATAATTGTATACATATTTCTAAACCTGTTTAATTTTTCTATGCACTTTTTTATTTATGATGTTATTTGCTTAATAAAGATGTTAAGATGTTTGAAATGCAGTTATTCTGGAGTAATCACTCATGAATCAGTTCTTTGCAAAAACATTATGCAATAGTACAGTTTTTAATACTCAGATCTTTAGCATGAATCTTTAAATAAAAAAACTACAAAATTAAGCAATTTTTATGATTTTTCCTTATCCATATTAGTTTATTTTGACACAACTTGGTGTAGTTTTCTTTAACTCCAATTTTAAAAAATGGTGTGGTATACAATGCAAATAAATCCTCTTTGACGAACCACTATGTAATTGAATAATCCAAAATCTTAGCATTTCTCAAAGCACAATTGAAAGGAATTTTAAAAATTCAGTCTCTGCAGTACATGGTATTATTAAAAGATTATGAGAATAAGGAGAAATCTCTGAGTGATGGGTAAGATTGAAAACTATTGCGGAATGTCTGTAATCTTCCATCCCTGCATCCTTTCATGGAAGCTTTTATAATGAGCATTATCACCAGATCAAGGAATATTTTGGAATGTACAAAAGTTGTCGCCTCAGCTTTTTTGGAACAAGTTGCAAGCAGCAAGATTGAAATGAGTATATACTTCTAAAAACACAAAAATAAACAAAGTTAGGGCTTTGATAGGCTCTTTAGAGCAGCAGTCATCAAACTTTGTTATGCACCCTGCCCAAACAGTTGGTCACCAGATGAGCTGAACTCCACACCCCAGCTTTAATGTATTGGCATAACATCACAAACATTGTAAAAATGTACATTGGGAAAAAAAATCCCAACTGGCTATTAGTTTAACTTTTTGCCTTAAAAGTTCTGCATTATTTCAGTTTTGTGCCCCCCTCCCCCCCAGCCATATGATCTGTATGACCCTCAGGGAGGGGGATGTGCCCCAAAGTTTGAGAACCACTACTGTACAGTTACCACTAAGGCAGAAGATAAGTTCTGTGAAACATTTGTGTAATGAACCTTTCCTCGGAAAAAATTCACCCAAAATGTGACATTCTGCAAGAAATGCAAAAATATATTGTATTTACTGCATGCATTCTAGCAATACAAACTCAAATGGCTTTCCATTCAGGAAGCTTGGCGAGCACTGCCACTGCATCGCCACGGCCAATGCCCACAAACACCTTCGCAAGGTCTCCAACAGTCCACTCGGGGAATTCCGTTGTAATTCTCTCAAGCACAGCTTTAAAAGGACTCTTGGTGTCTCGCATAGAGTAAATGTAGTTGATCCAGGTAGCTGAGAATGAACACTGGGCAGCCACATGGCGAGTGGTCTTAGCAGCAGTGCACTCAGGGTCCAGCAGCATGATAAGCTCCTCTAGCACATCCAGGTTGTCCAGCACTGTCCACAGCGGGGCACTCTTAATGCCAGGAGCTGAAAGTGAACACAGCTTGATATCAGAACACCTTTGAGGACAGTGTTGTACACACACACACACACATTTTATACATATATATATATATATATATATATGTGTGTGTGTGTGTTTACACTCCATTTCCTGGTGGCTCACTAAACTAATGTGCATTATGGAACAAATCATTGTATTTTAAAAGAAATATTAAAACCTGTTCTTAAAACATTACAGAATCACTAATAAAGTAGTCATTACGTTCATGCATACATTTCACATACAGTGAGAAGCATAAATACTGGTTCAGTAAGCTATTATTTTTATTTCATATTCATGAAATCTGCATTTCAACTCAAAAGATGAGAATGAGGCTCATGGCAGATATTTTCTGGGTAATGTATTCATACTGTACATCAGAAACAGAATAAGTTTATTCACCAAATGCACATAGTACATAGAAATTTGAGTTCAGACACTGGGAGAGATATTAAGTTTCTGCAGCAGCCTAAGGACAAACATTCTCTGGTGAACTCCTTATGATGGTGGTGGAGTGAGCTCTCTGCTGATTTTTGTCCTCAAGAACTTGACACAGTCCACAGCTTTAACTGCAATTTGCGAAAGTCAGTGATCATTTCCACAGTTTTGTCGATGTTAAGCTCCAGATTACTGTCTGTACACCATAAGAACATAAGAAGTTTACAAACAAGAGGAGGCCATTTGGCCCATCAAACTTACTTGGGGAGAATTGAGCTAATGGCTTTAAAGTTGTTAAAATCTTATCTAGCTTCGATTTAAAGGAACCCAAGGTTTTAGCTTGCATTATATGTACTAACAGGAAGACTATTTCATAATCTAACTACACGCTATGTAAAGAAGTGCTTTCCCAAATCCAGTTTAAAATGTTCTCCCGCTAAATTCCACCTATGGCCATGAGGTCTTGTAGTTACTTGAACTAATATTGAAGTAACTATTAGTTTAAACAGCATCCAAACCTCAATTAAGGGCGTAACTTTGGATTGAACATTGGAGAGGTTAAAGTCCCCACCCATTCGTCATTGCATTATAATAAGGGGGGTTGTATTGGCCAGTTCTGATTATTGGGGGTGTTACAAACCCCCCCCCCCCATAATTTACACCCATGTATACCTCCCCTTAGTGTCCTCTGCTCAAGGCTGAACAAATTCAGCTCATAAGACATTCCTCTTAGACCAGGAATCATTCTTGCAGCCCTACAGTGAATGCTTTCTAAGGCAGCAATGTCCTTTTTTGGGTAAGGTGACCACACCTGCACAAAGTATTCCAGGTGGGGTCTTACCAAGGAATATCATTATCGTAGCATCACCTCCCATGACTTAAACTCCACACACCTACAGATGTAACCCAATATCATAGTGGCCTTTTTAATTGCTTCCTCACATGAGAGCATCAACATAAACATCTTTCTCATAATCACCTTCCTTTTTTTCTGTGGAACCCATAAAATATCTGTACTTTATATTTCTGCTTCCTGCATGGATTACCTTACATTGATCTACGTTAAATTTCATCTGCCACGTATCAGCCCAGTGCCACCCTATAAGCCGTCATTGTTCTCGATGAGGCCAAGGACCGTGGTGTCATCAGCAAACTTAATAAGCATGATGGATCGATGATCTGACGTCTGGTCCTTGGTATAAAGGGAGAACAGGTATGGAGAAAGAAAGCAGAGCGGTAACTACAAGTCATGAACGTTAGTTAACGTGAACGTTAGTATTAGCACTAACGCTACTACAAAAGGTTGCATTAGCAGTACCGTTACTATGACTATTCACATTAACATTACAGACCCTTAAACCACCAAAGCTGATTTTTGACCACGAGCACTGACCACCATCAAAATCCATTACAACACTATTACTGATCATTAGACCACCATTTAAAGTACAAGAGTTGTGAAGCATTTACAAATGAATTAAAGTCAATCAGGGGACAGTAGAGGGATGAAAAATGGATGAAAGAAGGTTAAATTGACGAATGCTGGTTGAATGCCTTTGAGTTAAACACTGGATGTCTTCAGCAAATTTGCAGGTTTTATGCTCATAATTGCCAATTACAGTGGTACCTCAGTTCTCGAACTCATTAGAACTCGAATTTCTTAAAAGCCGAAACAACCAGTTTGAAAAAAAATTACCTAGAGCTCGATCTGAATCTCAGAAGTCAAACCGTGAATGCCGACCTAAGATAACTTGTATGCGCGGGGAAATGAGTCACGCAGCACATCACTCAGCGGAAACAAAGTGCAAAGCTTCAGTCTCAGCCTCGCATTCGCTGTGACAGCATCGTGCATGTTTACACTAGCTGAATACATATATTTAGACAGTAAAAATACATTTAGACAATGATTGACAGTAACAGTAATTATTATATAATAAAATACAATTAAAAATAAAGATTTCTTATTCATTATTTTAATATTAATAATAAACTATTAATACATTTAATTATAATAATATTGTCGTGCCGAGCTGGGACGGAATGGAGACAAAGGCGCAGACGTCAGGGTATCGGGGAATACTGGGTTTAATTACAGGTAAGGCAGGCAAAATGCAGACGAACAATACAATGATTGGGGAAACAAACTGAAACGCGGACGAAATACAGAGGGCTAATGAAAACAACCAGAAACAGCTGATCACACGGGGATTCCATACGAGCTTAACGAGGGGGCGTGGCACAAGGAAGAAGTGGACGATCGGGGCAGGACACATAGTTTTTTTAACTTTACACATTGTTTTGATACATTTATTTTCTTACTTTACAAAGTACTGTTTTGATAAATGTGCTTAGATGTGTTTAGTACAGTATATGCTCTTCTTGTTTTATCCGGTTCATTTTGTGTTTAAATGCTAAAAAAACATGTAATGTTTTGTAATTTTTTGGGGCCAGGAACCAATTAATTGGTTTTCCATTATTTCTTATGGGGAAAATTCGATCGACTTTTTAGGATTCGATCCGGAGTTCTGAACGGATTAAGTTCGAGTTCCGAGGTACCACTGTATGAGCATTTCCCATTACTCATTTTGCGATCAAGTTGGAGACACGCCTCAGTGTAAATGATGAATGGCAAATTCTGGCCACCCCTTACATCCCTCCAGGCTATAGGTGATGTTGATAGCATAATTGATTTGAATTTGAAAGTGTGCACACACATCTTATCTTTTCATATAAAAAATGACTCCAAAGTCAAGAACTTCAAAATGCTGCAAGACTGCAAGTCAACCCCAAGCATCAAAGGAGCTCATAAGCTCATGAAAGAGTGAAAAGTTTTAAACTGGCCAAGTCAGTTGCCTGATTTAAATCCAAAAAAAAAGCAACAGAAAAAAATGCAAGAGAGCATCTCAAAGGAAGATTTTGATGGGTTGCAGACTTGAGGTTATAACAGGCATGGCATACATAACAAAATTCTAACTTTACTACACATTTTAATTAGCCTTACATTTCTTTGCCCCAACATTTATGTGTGAAATTGGAGGGAAATTTCATAAATACACAAATACAATACAGTAGTATACAGTTATATCGGACTTCAAGGGACCTGGCAAAACAGTCTGTTGTATTCAAAGTCCGTTATATCCAGAGTTGCTGTATGCCCAGAACACAACTACAGGACACCATTTACTCATGCCACACCCCAGTAGACACACTTGTGGTATAGATTATTGACCTTGTGGTATAGACTAAGTGGGATGGATATAAAAGGCAAGACTACAGAGCCAGGGGGTGCTGATTGTTTGAAAGCTCTTTTCCTGGACCGGAACTTTCAGTAAAACGCCTCAAGCATTTATTGGGTTAATAGAATTTTTAGAATTAGTTCAACTCCAATCACTGTAAAAAGTTATTTCATGAGCCTTTTAATCAAGGGTGTAACTTTGGCTGGAACATTGGGGGGATTGAGGTCTTCACCCATTACGGCGGAAACATGATTATTGGGGATGTTGTATTAGCTGGTTTTGATTTATTGGGGGGGCTACAACCCCCCCCATAATTTAAGCCCATGTTTTTACTACATAGATGGTATTTGTCATTATTACCTTTTTTCCTTCATTGCCATTCTGTACCATTTTTCTTTCGTATATGATAGTACTTAAACTCTAATAAAATGTACAACATCCCAACATTTTTTGGTACATTTTGGTTAAATAAAATTAGTCTATTAAAATGGAAGACAATACAGAACTTAGACACAATCATTCTTAGAAAAGACCTCAGTAATATACGTAAGAAGCGTGGGCTCACCCAGAATATCAGGCAGCTGCTTGTTGTTGTGCGGTGGAAGATATCTGATGTCACTTGCACTTATCATCTTTTCCATACTGTGCACTTCAGTGTACTGTTTTTTTCCAAGCACTGTTAGGAAACAACACAGCACCTCTTCCTCAGAAACTTCTGTACGAATATCTTGCTTAAGCTTTACTCTGTCAAAGGTCCTTAGTTGCTTAATTATTGTTAGCTGCTTCGTATAAAGAAAAAGAATCCATACTGTATATTTCATTGCTATGACTGATTATTTCTCAGTTGATAAGAAACAGAACAAATCTGATAATACTTCAGTACATATGATTATTATAACAAGCGTTAAAAAAAACTATTCCGACCTATTGTATGTTAACAATACGCTGTTATATCCAAGGATGTATTGTTTGTTTGGGTCATAACACAAATAATCAATGTACATAATAAAATATTTGCAAGCCTGATAGAAGGCCTCTAAAGTATTTAAATTATTGTTTGCTAAAATATTTAATTTCCATTACGTCATTTAACCAGAAACCAAAGATTAGGATTCATCATACACTGTATGGTCAGAAGTATGTGGCAATCAGCTTGTGCAACATCTCATTCAGAAATGAGTATTAACATGAAGTTAATCTGCCTTTGAGCCTCCACCCTTCCAGGAAGACTTCCCATTACATGCCGTAAAATTAATGGTGGGGTATTCTGGAAATCTGTGGTGTCTACCACTTTGAACCATAATATGCTCTCAGATGTTTCCATTTAACAATCAGAATTAAGCAACTGTGTGGGCAATATGTATGTGTGTCTGTGTGTGTGTCCATGTACTTCTGGCCATATAGTGCAGTGGTTCTCTACTGGCTTAGCTGTAGGACCCAACTTGGTCTTTGGTCATTAAGTCATGACCAAAACATACACGTATAATCCTGCCAGTACTACCAGTAAAGTTTGCCGACTGGGGAGGGGAGTAGGTGGGTGGTTAAAAAACAAAGAAAGTCCACTCCACAACCTAGAGGAAATGATCCTGTGACCCATCAGTTCCGAAAACTGATGCAGTCAGTATCGGACCAAGCTGATGTGGCACCTTAGGTAAGCATCACTGCTGGCGCTGCCTGAGAAGCCTATGTCACCTGTAGTACATAGTACTTCTATGGGTAGTATTGTTCATATCTATTGTGTCAGTATCCTCCTACAGTCTTTAAATTGCCCATAGTGTATAATCATGAATGTGTATCTGTGAGAGTGTGCTCTCTGATGACTAACTACATGGCAGTCCCCTGTCATATGCCCCCCCCCCCAGACCATGCTCTGGAGATGCAGTGGATACAGGGATGGATGAATATCTGAAATGATACTTTGAGGTATTAGCAGCAGGCTACTTACCACCAGTGTTACTGACATATAATACTCCTCTTCTCCTCTTCATAGAACAGAATAAGTATATGATGATTAGAGATAATAGTAAGGTGACAGGAAGGACAATCCCTGGAAACATACAGAGGTAATGGGTATGGGGCAGGATACTCTTCTGTGTAGTACAAGCAGAAGGTATTTTACAATGATATAATCAGTACACAGAAGTGGATAGTTCAGGTCCAGAAAGTAAAAATGTAGACCAGGATTTTGTTTCAACCAACCAGTTGAGTATAAAGAGTCACTGTCACAGAGTATTCAACTGGTTGGTTGAAACAAAATCTTTATCTGGATTTTTACTTTCTGGAACTGAACTATCTACCTCTGTCAGTACAGTAACTACTATAGCTGCTGCAACTCATTAAATATTATGTTAGAATTTGCTTTTCTTAGCTCATAATTTATAACAGTACTTACACACCATCTGGCTTGGGTTTGGCATGTCAGTAATATTATTTGTTGACTGAGGCCACTGTGTTGTACAGTGCAATTCTTCTCCTTTCCGCTGGGGACAATAGAAAAAACAGTTGGTAAGAGAGCTGAGGAGAATTACGTTGGTGAGGAGCAGAGAAGGGAATGAAGTGAAGTAAAAGGGTCAGAGAGACGTATCTATATGTCGAGTGCTTTATTTTACTGCATGCATACAACACACTGCAAAGCAAAAAATATTAATAATGACACTTTTATTGATCCCTGTGAGGTAATTCTCTTTTTTCCTTCACCATCTTGCTCTCCATGACACACACATATGTAGCTGAAAGCAAGATTTGCAGCGAAGGGCAGCCACCTGCAGCAGCACCCATGGAGCTGGGGGTTAAGGGCCTTACTCAAGGGCCCACAGATAGGTGACTATTCTGCCAAAGCTGTGGTTGAACTGGGGCCCTTCCAATCATAGGCGCAGAGGCTTAAGGCTGATTTATACTTTGTGTCGAGCCTACACTTATGAAAGTGGTCAATGCAGTTGCGAGCATTTATACTTGTGCACTAGTGTGTCTGTGTCGCTTAGCAATTACACCACCAAAACTGTAAGTGATACATAGGTGATACAATGTGTAGGTCCATGTCAGGCTATGGTGAAGGCTATGGTGTAGGGTCCATGGCTATGCCATACTTAGGCCATCCATTCCATGCAGAAGTATAAATCAGCCTTTAGCCTGCTAAGCCACACACTACCCACAAAAGAATAACTAATTAACTTTGCTTAATAATAAATGTTTAAGTGTACAGTTACTGTAGTACAACAGATACAATGTTTTATATAAAATATACTGGGAATGTTAAAATCCATCACAGAATGGATGCCATTGCATTATCTAGGTGGGTGCTACACAGTGGTGGTGGTTGAATTGGCTCCACTTTCAGTAAAGCACTTTGGGTGTATTGAAACATGCTATATAAATGTAACATTCATCAATTTATTCATTCATTCATCCATTTCTGTACCCGCTTCAGGGTCATGGGGGTCCAGAACCTATCCTGGAAGCTACAAGCACAAGGCTTGGAGTACCCCAGGGTAGGGTGCCAAACCATTGTAGGGTGCACTTCTACCATTTACACACACAGTCACACCTATGGGCTATTTGGCAACTCCAATACACCTTAGACTTGCCCACACAGAGCTATGACCTCAACCCCATCGAACACCTACAGGATGAACTAAAATGGAGATTGCTAGCCAGGCCTTCACATCCAACATCAGTGCTTGACCTCACAAATGCTATTTTGAATGAATGGGCAAAAACTCCCACACTCCAAAACCAACTCCATATTAATGCCACTAGATTTAGAATAGGATGTCATAAAAGTTTCTGTAGGTGTAACGGCCAGATGTCCCAATACTTTTGTGTATATAGTATGTTTATATATACAGTGGTACGTCAGTTCTTGAACTCATTAGAACTCAAATTTCTTAAAAGTTGAAACAACCAGTTCGAAAAAAAATTACCTAGAACTCGATCTGAATCTCAGAAGTCAAACCGTGAACACCGACCTAAGATTACTTGTACGCGCGGGGAAATGAGTCACGCAGCATGTCTCTCAGCGGAAACAAAGGGTAAAGCTTCAGTCTCAGCCTCGCATTCGCAGTGATAGCATTGTGCATGTTTACACTAGCTGAATACATATATTTAGACAGTAAAAATACATTTAGACAAAGATTAACAGTAACAGTAATTATTATATAATAAAATACATTTTAAAATAAAGATTTCTTGTTATTTTAATATTAATAATAAACCATTAATACATTTAATTATAATAATATTGCCGTGCCGAGCGGGGACGGAACGGAGACAAAGGCGCAGATGTCAGGGTATCGGGGATAATTACAGGTAAGGCAGGCAAAACGCAGACGAACAATACAATGACCTGGCTGGGGAAACAAACTGAAACACGGACTAAATACAGAGGGCTAATGACAACAACCAGAAACAGCTGATCACATGGGGATTCCACATGGGGTTAACGAGGGGGCGTGGAACACGGAAGGAGCGGATGATCTGGGCAGGACACATTGTTTGGATACATTTATTTTCTTACTTTACACATTACTGTTTTTATAAATGTGCTTTGATGTGTTTGGTACAGTATATGCTCTTCTTGTTTTATCCGGTTCATTTTGTGTTTAAATGCTAAAAAAAAAAAAAAAACATATTCAGGTGTAATTTTTTGGGGCTGGGAACCAATTAATTGGTTTTCCATTATTTTTTATGGGGAAAATTCGATCAGACCTCAAACTCAATCCGGAGTTCTGAACGGATTACGTTTGAGAACTGAGGTACCACTGTATGTGTTTTCAAGATATTAAATATATATTTCCAAGATATTATATATAATTATATACAATATAATTAGTGGAATTTTTTCCCTGCTACAATGATGAGTCTGGTTTTGGCGGATACCAGAAGTAAGTTCCCTGCCTATATATTATATTTAATATCTTTTACAAAAAAAGGCTAAAGCAAGGGTGCCATTCCTACAAAGCCCACGAAGTCCGGAAAAATGCATAAGAACTGCGCCCTCATTTTCATCATTTTAGTGAGCCCATAACAGACTTACCATGGTTACAATACCACGGTTTTGATATATATTGCCTTGTCCAGGGGTCACCAACATGGTGCCCGTGGGCACCAGGATGCCCCCAAGGACCACATGAGAAAATGCAGAGAGGCAACAGAATTATTTACGTAATGGTTGGATGGGGAAATGATTCAGAATGGTAGGTAGACCCTTTCCGGAGAAAAAAAAGTTTATATCATTGTAATCACTGAAATTCAGAAAATAACAATAAGGTTTGGTCAACAACATGAAGCTAAGTAGGCTTGGGGTTGTATGTGTTTGGCTCTGTGGGTTGTGAAGGGAAGGTCGCCGCTCACATCCTGTGGTCTGTAGAGTGATTCCACTATTGGGCCCTGTGCAAGGCTGTTAACCCCAATTGCTCTAGGGCAGGGGTCACCAACATGATGCCCGCGGGCACCAGGATGCCCCCAAGGACCACATGAGTCGCCCGTGGACCTGTTCTAAAAATAGCACAACTCACCAGTGAGCAGCGTCTAAAATTTAATTTTATCCTGTTGCTATTGTTCTTTAATCACATTTACATTTATATAGATTTGAAAATGACAATATCTAAACATGTTTATTATACATGAAGTTTAGATAAGTTTAGGAGGGCATTTCAAACTGGTAGTCCTTCGTATGGCTCGGTACCCATGAAGTAGCTCTCAGTTTCAAAAAGGTTGATGATCCCTGGCCTAGTCAAAGTCAATGGGACCGCACAATTATCTCTGATCATTTGATCCAGTTTTGCTAATTCAATTCTCCCGTGGCTTTGAAGAACCAAAACAGCTGGATAACTATCCATGATTTGATGCCCTGAGAAGAGTCCTTTGATTTTGAATGTTTCAATCCACGTACAAAGAATACCCCCCAAGGGGTTATTGCATGAAGCAGGTTTTTTCAATTAACTGGGTTAAGTTAAGCAAAAAGTAATGATTGTCCAGTTAGAATGCTCCTTACCTAAACTCTTATTGGACAATCATGACTTCTAACTTAACCCTGCTAATTGCTTTGTAGAAACCCCCCCCCCTTACCCACCCCCAAAAAGTTCACACTGTTATCTCGGGACTCCATGCTAAACCTGGGGGGTGTTACACAAAATTAGTTTTACAAAGTCAGGGTTAGAAGGGTTAGAAGTTTCAGCTCAATAGAATCAGTAAACAAATACAATTTGAGATAAACAATATCATGATACTGACTATCAGCAATCTTTGTCAAGCCAGGTTTTCTTACTCAAGTCAGGTCAGGTTGGGGAGCATCCCCTAGTGCAGCATGTTGCTGCACCCACCACATGACGAAACACCTCGGGATCCCAGCTGGCAGCCCCCCAGGCAAACATGCAGTCCAGTCCCACCCTCCAGAAATGGCCGTCCATCTACCACACAGAGCTGGCATTACATGGGCATCCCCTTGGCCTGGTCCAGCCGCTCAGTTCCACAGCATTGAAGATCCTGCAAGTCAGATCACCCTTGGAATTGCGCCACATGACCTTAGTGCCATAACTGACGCTCTCTCACAATGCAGGTAATGTGCCTCATTCAGGACTTTGATACAAAGTTATTACTGAACTTACTGAAACCAAGGTTACTCTGTTTAAATCTGTGATAGGATGTCATAACCCTAACCCCACTCCGCTTGCTGCCTCTCTGCAGCATGAAGCTACTCCGCTCACTGCCTCTCCTCAGTGTGAAGCCGTTCTGCTCACCACCTCTCCACAGCATGAAGTCAGGGTCCGTCAGGGTAGGCTAAAGCGCCATGGCTGCTGCAGGACCTGGCATAGGTGATGTGGCCCCTCTTGGGCCGGCAGCCAGGGATTCTGGATGAGTGGCCCTCTCCAGCATTGTCTATAACTAATATATATATAACTGAAGCTGATGTTTTGCAAAGCCTAGCTAAGCTCAAAATAAATAAATCACAGGGCCCTGATGGCATCTTACCTATAGTGTTAAAAGAGATGAGGGATATTATTTGCCGACCCTTAACTTTACTGTTTCAAAAAATCCTTTGTGGTACCTTCTGATTGGAAGCATGCCAACATAACGCCCATTTTCAAAAAAGGGGATAGAAGTAAGGGATATATAAGGGATAGAGCCCTGCATTGTGAGAGAGCGTCAGTTATGGCACCCTGACACCATTGTGCCTACATCTGTCTCAGGTAAGACCACGCCTCCAACTAAGATACCATTCTGGGCAGTGAAGGCTGCTATCTCTTGCCTGCCGTCCATCAGGGAACCCAGTGGTTGAATCAGGTGTCCCGGCTTCACCTCGCTTGACCCTGCTTACGTCCAGGTGTCCTAGCTTCGCCCAACGTGCCTCCAGATGCCCCAGCTGTGCCCTGCTCACCTACAGGTGCCCTGGCTGCACCCTGCTTGTCTCCTGCCATCCTCTTCGCTCCTGTTTTGTTTTCTATCATCTCACCAGTGCCTACTCTGTCTCCTGCTGTCCTGCCAGCGCTTGTCCTGGCTGCTGGTGACCTGCCAGTGCCCACCTCCTGGTGTCCCACTGGTACCTACCTCATCTCCTGTTGTCACCTTGGTGGCATCATTGTAGCTTCCAATGCCTGACTACCCATTTGATGTTGTTCTCTCCTGCTGTCCTCTTAATCCCTGGCCCAGCCTGTTCCATGTCCATTGCTGTGCCACATGTTCTGTCTTGTCCTGTCCAGTTGCTTTGCCTCTCTAGTCTTGTGTGGTGTCTGTCCCAAGTACCATATCAGTCCTGCTATGCCATGTCCTGTCCGGTGTCCCATCTGTCCCTGGCCCTTTGTGTCTGTCCTTGTTTCTGGTCCCCTGGGTCCCCTCCACTCTTCATTCTCCATGCCCGGGGTTTGCTTGTTGCCCCTTGTTAGTTTTTGTATTAAAGTATTTTTCTGTTTGTCTCGTCAGCCCCAGTCCCATCAATGAAGTCAGTCCCCCTGTTGGCTATGTGCTTCTCGATGCTCTTCCTGTTTTTACCCTTTGCAGTCCTGTTTATTTCCCTGTTCCTGTTTCACCCCAAATAAAACCCCTTTTGTTTGCCAAACCGTAGAGTCCTTCATCCTGTGACATAATTTTTGTGACAGGGACATGCCACAGAGACCACATAGAAGGGCAACATACGAGAGCTCATATCATTCAAATATCGTTGGCTAAGGGAGAAGTACTAGAAATTCAGAAAGGACAGCAGACCAAAGACTGTATATAAGAACCCTTCAAATATACTAATTACTTATTATACTAATAGCCAAGTATACCTAACCAACAGATATGGTATAAATGTTAGTATTATTAGTAATATGGACTGAAAGTTGAGAATGCATTGCAGATAAAATAATAATGCAATCAACTGTATAGTCCAAACCAGTTTATACACTACTGTGTAGTCTGTGATGTATTATTCCAAACCAATTTCTAGTCATTGTCAATAAAACCCACACATCTACCCCATTAAGCGTAGAATAGTTACCAGTTAGGTGAGTGTCCTGTCAGGTAGTTCTGTTGGGGATCCCTTTGGGCTGATATTTGAGCTACTAGAAACTCATTATGAATTTTGTATATTTGAATCTGCAGTTTGAATCTGAATTCCAATAACTTGAAACAGCATTTATCCTACCTCGAAGGTTTTCAGTTCGCAAATTCAATTTCAATCTATTGTGACACACATCCGGGTCCTTGAGGAAAAGTAATCGACTGCAGATTCACAACGCAACTCATTTCCACGTAAAAACACTTGTTTGACAACATCAACCAAAATGGATCATTTAACCATCCACTTTTCTTATTATTTATTTATTTAGTTGTTGTTGATAATAATGATAATAATAATAATAATAATAATAATAACATTGAATTGTTTAGTACTGCAGTGCATTTAGGACAAATTAGATTAATTCTGGTGAGTACTAAATAAAATTCTGCTCCACCTACCTTAAAAGGCCTGCTCTTATTTGCAAGGCAAAAATAACATTAAAATGTTAAGACTTACCTGGGTTGTCACTTGATGGCTCTTTTCATTGGTAACAGTCCCTCTTTAAGGCACAAAGAAACAAAATATATCTCAAAAATATCAACACAGCTTTGTGCTCTAAACTGATGGTCTTTGAGCAATAGCGTTACTTATTATTATTAAACGTCATTGTTTAAACTGTCGATTCTGCCTTTAGGGTACTTTTTTATATTACAGTTATTATTCACTTTTGTACAGTGGCCCTGAAGGTCAAAACACAACAACATTTCAGAAAACACAACAATATTTCAAAAAACACAAAGAAATTACAGAAAACACAACATTTCAAAAAACACAACGACATTATAGAAAACACAACAACATTACAGAAAACACAACATTTAAAAAAACACAACAACATTTCAAAAAACACAAAGACATTACAGAAAACACAACAACATTACAGAAAACACAACATTTAAAAAAACACAATGACATTTCAAAAAACACAAAGACATTTCAAAAAACACAACATTACAGAAAACACAANACAACATTTAAAAAAACACAATGACATTTCAAAAAACACAAAGACATTTCAAAAAACACAACATTACAGAAAACACAACATTTAAAAAAACACAACGACATTTCAAAAAACACAAAGACATTACAGAAAACAAAACGACATTTAAGAAAACGGGAAGGGTAGGACCACACTTCTTGTTCGTGATTGGACAGTACCCTTGGAGTGACATGTGTTGTGTATGTGTATGTTCACTACAACTCCCAGGATTCAAAGCATCATGAGAGCCCTCCCTACAGGTGAAGTGTGCGATTGTTGTATGAATAAAAAAGTTCTGTTCTAACAGCACAACTTACAGCACAACTAACAGCACATATTACAATTTTTAGTGACTACCAAACATCCGCGAATCCTCCTCGATCATTCGCAACGGGTTCTTGAACGTAACCTCGCGAATGTCCCAGGTCTGACTGTATTTTGATCGAGCGGCTACTCCTCAGACACTGACATCAGAACGGCTATCTTACCGGCGCTATGTGGATCCTGGTCGACCTGGGCAGATGTTTGGACACAAAGCTATATGGCTTACCTTTCAGCTATTACAGTTTTTTTTTCGATTGCTTAGGCACAATTTTGAAAACTGGGCCCCTTTTTTCAAAACACTTCACACAGTTAACCCAACCACACACTAATTATCCACTAATTTATAAAAAGGACATTTTGTCCCCATAAAAAAAACACATTGCTCGTATAATCCAGATCTTTTTTTTAACCCGTTACACACTGATGTAAAACACTTTTAGTCCTTTTACTTTCCTCATGATTGATGCTGTGAGGAATACAGAGAAAGTACAAAATAAATTCAGCATGTTGTTGTGTCCATAAAGTAACACACAGATTACATACTATTAAGAGAACAAGATAGACGGAGACCAAGTTGTGCTGTTAGAACCGAACCTTTTTAATCATACAACAATCGCACACTTCCCAGAGACTTCACCTGTAGGGAGGGCGCTCATGACGCTTTGAATCCTGGGAGTTGTAGTGAACATACACATACACAACACATGTCACTCCAAGGGTACTGTCCAATCACGAACAAGAAGTGTGGTCCTACCCTTTCCGTTTTCTGAAATTTCGTTGTGTTTTTTTAAAATGTTGTTTTGTTTTCTGTAATGTCGTGTTTTTTGAAATGTCGTGTTTTCTGTAATGTTGTGTTTTTTGAAATGTGTTTTTCTGATATGTGTTTTTTGAAATGTTGTGTTTTATGAAATGTGTTTTCTGTAATGTCGTTGAGTTTTTTTGAAATGTGTTTTCTGTAATTTCGTTGTGTTTTTTGAAATGTTGTGTTTTCTGAAATGTTGTTGTGTTTTGACCTTCAGGGCCACCGTACTTTTGTTATATTACCATTAATTTCTATAATAAACAGTATTTAATCAAATCCAGCTAGCTATTTGGGGGAGATGGTTTAAAAATCATCATATGAGAGCAACAAATTACATAATTTCAAATGTACCTAAAAGCCTGTAATGTCAATTGCTCCAAAAAAGAACTGTATTTCATTACATTTTATAACATTTTCGTAAAGAAAAATCAAAAACTTCAAATGACCCATATTTTAATACTTGTTTAATGGTTTAACTTAAATTTGTGATGTACAGATTAATCGTTTTTAGCAAAAATACTATTTGTAAGCAATACTATTTGTAAGCAAGTACAAGTACAAATACAACACTTTCAAAAAGTCTACCTGGACAGATGACAATTAGACAAGAAGATGGCATTATGTTATACGTTTTTAAGATTTTATTTTTTTTAAATCGCACACATTGGCGATTAATGGCATATACCACATGTACAACTCATCCCAGGTACTCAACAGGTGGATCGTCACTCTACTTAATCCCAACTCCATAACTGATCTAAAAGCTAAATCCCATATTTGGCAAATGGCTTGGTAACACTTCTAAGAATGCCATGTCTATTAGAATCTATGAGGAATCTAACACATTCATAATACATTATATAATAATGCCTTCAAAAAGCATTATAAACATGGTTACAAATACAGCCATGGAAAAAATGAAGAGACCACTATATTTTTAAACAAATCTGCATTTTTAAATCCTGGTTTAATCGTGGATCTGCTGGCAGAAGGCTACACTGCGCAGCAGGTTGCTTCCAGGTTCAAAATTTCTAACACAGCAGTACACGAGAATAAGGTGAAGCAGAAGACACTGGGAATGACCAGAAACCAGCCAGGTAAAGGGAGGAAACGATATTCTAATGCCAGAGATGATTGTTAACTTATTCAACAGTTTGTCATGAATTGACATCAAGTGACCTTCAAAAGGAATGGGAAACATTAAGTGCAGGCGTGAAGTGCACTGCTAGGAGAGTTCATATCAGGCTGCTAGAAGCAGGACTGAAGTCCCATAATACAAAGATGAAAGGATGAAGCCCTTTATTAATTTTGTGTGTGTATATATATATATTAGGACTGTCAAAATTAACGGGTTAACGCGGATTAATCCATCATCGTGATTAATCTGATTAAAATTTAACTCAATTAACCCATCTGCAGCGCAGAATGACTCAAAATCCCAGAAATGTCTCTGTCAACCCATTTCGGGCAGTTTTGGTGCGTTCTATTTGCCCTGGGAACTTGTATTCCGAGTCGGATTCCGAGTTTTGAAGCCGGAAGTCTCGACATACGCGCTCCCGTTTCTCGGAGATCCGAGAAATATCTCGAAGCACAGAGGATCCTGAGTTCAGAATCCAAGATGGCTGCGTCTTTTATCAACAGAAGGGAAAGTTGTAGTTTTATACTGTTTAAGCACTACTTCTCATTTGTGGCTCATTAAATCGGTCGCACACACTATACCGTCCAACTTATCTGTGGACGTGTTGCTACCGAGTTTTATATGTAAAGCACCGCACGTAATGTGTTATCAACTGATATTGCTAACAACGGCAATTAAATGGCCTAGAATTGGATTTCATGATTAGTCGGATTATTTGTCGGATTTACAGTAGTTCGGGCTAATTGTAAGTGAACGAAGATAAAGACCATTTAAACTGAGGTACCTTAAATATGACAAGTTGTCCGGCTAAGCAAAAACATCTTGCTTTTTTGATATGGGTCCATGGTATTGCACTTCTGTGGCAGATATAATGCATCCGACTCATGTTCAAGATGTTCAATAAACATGTTAAGTGCATATATATTCCCTTTTTTCTTGAAAAATGAAATGCGATTAATATAGATTAAAAATGAATGATATTTATTCGTGATTAATCAAAATTAATCCACAGCAACCCTGTGATTAATCTGATTAAAAATTTTAATCGTTTGACAGCACTAATATATATATATATTATTCATGGACACACACCCAGAAATTGAGAAATTGAAACAAAATATTGTCCTGTGGTCTCAATTTTTTCTGCGGCTGTATTTATATAAAGATATAACACATAATAGTCATGTTGATTATGCATTATGAATGCTTTCTCAAGCTCTCATCTATAATGCACTATAGATACCTTCATAATGCAGTATAAAGCCTCCTTAATTCTCATACCTACAATTATAATGCATTAAGAAGGAATGTATAGTGTATTATACATGACAGCTTCACTGGAGCTTATGAAGTATTATAATCAACAATATATTGCTTTATGACTGTCAGTAGAAGATGCTTTAATGCTTCATTAATTTTATACCTAACATTATTATGCATTATGAAGATATCTAATAATAATGCATTATGAAGGTATCTAAAATGTATTACACATTTTGACAACTTCAAGTAAATTGCTACCAATCGCTCTTGAAACAAAAACCTGACCACCACTGAAAGTGTACTTAATACTTTTGTGTGCCCACCTGAAACTTCTGAATGCCAATATGCTCTAGGCGACACTTCCTGTACCCAATGGGACATACACCTGATGTTTTTTTTTTAATAATTGCACTGCGTTCCCAATGACTGTAAGTGACAGCTACTTAGTATTAATTATTAATCCATTCATTCTACCATTAATACTTTGAACGAACACAGTACAATTCGCACCATTTATCAGATTATGTATTTTTATTTTTATACATATTTATTAATAATTACACTGTGTCAATTTACCAAAAGCAATTTTTTTTCACAGACCACCAGTGACCAAATGTCCCCTACAATGTGATAAAAACCTGTTATTTTGACGTTATGGGGACCAATGAGGACTATAGGATAAAATACACACACACACACACAGGTTTGTAATTATATCTTTGTGTCGACTGTCCATTCATTTCTATGTGGAAAACTCTAATCTTAACATGACAACCTCAACCCCTACCCAGCCCTAAACTTATCCATAAGTAACCAATCAAAATACGAGACTTTTAGTTTTTTGATTGTATTCACAAGTCTTTGTGGGGAACTGAAAAATTAACGTTAAAATAACGTTTTTATCACATTGCGGGGGACATTTGGTTGAAGTGGTCCCCTATTGCCTCTGTAAAAATGATATATAAATTCAACTTTCATTCACTCATTAACCAAGCCTCTTACCCCATTTCATAACACTGTGTATCCATGGTGGCATTGCATGGCATCCAAGTCCCCCGATTAGATGGGCAAATCGTGCAGGGCTGGCATTTACTGGTACTGCCATCATTATATGTGCCATCAGGACAGGAAACATACATCGCAGCAGGATGACCTCCCATATCATCGAGTCCGCAGTTTGGAGCAAATTCATACCCTGCAGAAGATCATATACACATTTAATGACATTCCAGCTGAAAAACAGGTCCTTCAGAATTTGTTGATATAAAATTTTCACGACATGTACAACTTGAAATATAACATAAAATAACGATTAATATTCCTTCAGCATATTAGAGTAACTGCAGCATCCATCAAAGCTTTATGAAAGATTGTGCTAAACATGTCTGCATGTCCTCACTGAGCATCATTACATTTTCACTGAAAATCAAATAAAAATTGCAGTTAATACCAGAATTTTGTAGTTAATATAATCATATGCCTGTCTACAATAATCAAAAATATATTTTTTGAAGAAGGGGATATGGCTATATTAGCTAAAAAATTTAAAATTTAGCCCCATCACATTTTTATTGCAACAGGATTGAATCTTTGTGACAAAGTTGAATTTCTGGCACTTGACACTACAGTAAAATCCTGTTATAGTGGCCTCGCTTATAACGGAATATCGTCTATAACGGACGAGGTCCGCTGGTCCCGGCCGTGCGCCTTTAAGAACATGCAGAAAAAGCATCGGATTAGCTTACTCGCATATAACAGAATTTTGCTTATAACGGACACACAGCCGGAGCTTTAGATTTACAAACGCCAAACAGGGCATTCTGAAATGCTTAACGTGAAAAAGCTCAATGTGGTTTAATGTACCAAAACAGTGACGAAAAATCACCAAATTTCTCACGGACATATCTGGTCATAAAGACTTTAACCGGACAAAAAAATCAAAACCAAATGCAAGGAATATGTACTTAATCTTACGTTAAGCGTTTTCCTCTCCATTGACGCCCATTGCATAAAAAAGAAAGCATTTAAAAAAACAATAATAAATAAATGCAAATTTTTACTTTTTTAAATTATAATTTGCAGACACACTATTTGAATACAGGAACCCCTATGTAGGAAACCCCCTGGACTTGTGCCAAGCTCCAGTTGGTACCCAAATCGACGTCCATCCAATCGTCGTCCTCCTTTAAAATGGGGCCAATATGGGTCACCCATTTTGTACTTGTGTGCCACCCATATGTGCTTGCAAGTTGGGAAGAAGTGGATACATTGTCTTAACACTCTATGTTGTAAATTGAACACAATAAGAGTTAATAAATATTAACACTGTATAAACAACACTCACTGCACACTGTAAAGTGTTAAAGGTAACACTGAATGGTGTGGATCCAAATAAACACCATGCAGTGCTAATTTAACACTGGCACATTTGCTGTGTAGGTTTAACCAGCTTCAATAACTTTACTCATTATTATTGCTGTTGCTACCGATTAGTAGTATTGGACATGTATACACTTGCTGCGTAAACTCGCATAGCGTCACTGTACCTTCCTCCTCCAGTTTCCTCCTCGGTTTCGCTGAATGTGCATTGTCTACATCAAGATTCACTGCATAGACGCACAGAACGTGCGCCTTATATTTAGAAAGTGCCCCAGTAAAATGAGTCTGGCCACGCCGATGTGTCTGATTTTTTGCACAATTTTTCACATTTCAGTTTGTTTTCCCCCATTGCAGACGTCACACAACTTCCACGCTGACTATATGTTGATTAATTACATGTGGGTTGACTAATCAGTTAAATGATTACAGACAAGACTATTAAATTAATATAATTTTAAAGGAACATAATTATTTGGACTGATTCATTGTTTTTGTAGTGATCATGAAGTCATCTCAGAGGAAATGAATTACTGCAACAAACTGGAATTATATCACCCCAATTTAAAAATCTAAGTACACTCAAAAGAACTGAGCTACTACTCCAAAATTTAATTTTTGAGTAAAGTCAACTTAGTCGAAATGAGTGAATCCAACTTACTTCTATTATTAAGAAGTACTGTTAGGTTTTACGACCCACCAACATCTCTTACTGCCCCCCCATTGAATGCAGTCTAGAACCGGGCCTGTTTTCGCTGTAGTTTTGTTCTGCTATATACTGGACATGCAGGCTCCACCTACAAGGTGCGTGGTGTGCTGGTGATATGCAGTGTAGATACGTAGTCTGGATTATTAATAGTCACGCATCTGGTCAGGTAAAGTTGTATTACTACATGTACAATATAATAATCTATACCACAAGTGTGTCTGCTGGGGTGTGGCATGAGTAAATGGTGTCCTGTAGTTGTGTTCTGAGCATACAGCAACTTTGGATATAACAGACTTCTTTGCCAGGTCCCTTGAAGTCCGTTATAATGGGATTTTACTGTAGTATATGATTCCAGTGTAGGCTTTGATGTGAACTGCCTGAAGTAATTTTTCATGATATTTTATGTTCAATATTGTCAGACATCACAATGACAATGTTTCTGTGTATCTGTAAGTGAATGATATGTACTGTATATGTAAGTTTGCATATGGTGTCTCAAAATGACTTTTAGTGAGAAAGAAATTCCTAATAATAATGGGGATTTCATGCTTGAGGTGGGAAAATTTACTTTCTCCAAGGGTTAGTTAGTTCTCTATTAGATGAAGCTATCAGAAATACAACTAGGCCTACTTGAGGTATTTGTTTCAAAAACTGTATAACCCAATTAAGTGCACCCGCGTCGGAGAGTCGTCCAGAAAAACGAGACTTCAGCAAGTACAGTAAATAACAGAAAGACTTTGCTAACTAGACATAGATTTTCGTTAAGATTATTTCTTAAAAGATCGCCTTCCAGGAAACATTGACCACCACATAATTGTATGGCTTTATAAATAAAAAAAAAAGTGTTGATGAGTAAATGATTCCGAATGAATACGGAATAGTAGCTTCGCGTCTTAGTTCACCCTAATTTAATCTTAAAATTTATTTTAATATTACAATTAACTCGTCCTACCTTTCAATATCATATAATCTTCGTCGCATCGTCGACAAGTATTCTGGTACCAGTAAGTTTCTAAATCAGTTGTACATCTGTTTGAGAAACTGGTACGTCTTGAGGTTGGTCTCACAACACTAACGACTAAGAAGATTAATAAAAACTCTTTTAAAGACATGTCTTGACTGATTACTGACTTAGTAGTATCTGCAAAACCCGACTAAACTTTAGTAGGTGGAGCCCGGAATAAAACATAAATTCCTGTCAGTTGCGGTTTCTGCACCACTGACGTAAAGGACAGCCCCTGTCACGGGAACGCGCAATTTAAGACATTCGCTTTAAATAGACAATCAGGCCTACGTACAGATATTGACTCAGAGGTTCTCAAAGTATTTCTGTCTCGCCCCCCTTTGGAAGTATCACACACACAGATATACAGATACAAATACCGGCTGCTTTGCACACCCCTAATATATATATAATAATATATATATATATTAGGGGTGTGCAAAGCAGCCGGTATTTGTATCTGTATATCTGTGTGTGTGATACTTCCAAAGGGGGGCGAGACAGAAATACTTTGAGAACCTCTGAGTCAATATCTGTACGTAGGC